AGCCTCCTGAGTAGCTGGGACTACAGGCGTGTGCCACCACGCCCAGTTAATTTTTGTATTTTTAGTAGAGACGGGATTTCACCATGTTGGCCAGGATGGTCTCAATCTCTTGACCTCGTGATCTGCCCGCCTCAGCCTCCCAAAGTGTTGGCTACTGCGCCCAGCCAGCAAAATGTTTTTAAAAACCATTGCTCTAGCTCCCACATGAGACAATTCTGTAATACACAATACAAAAGAAAGCAACAGAGGGCATGATATTAGAGAGGGTATTTAGTTTACAAATTTTATTTTTCAGTTATATAGATACATACGTATATATATGTATTGAGTCACTAAATGAAATGTACTTCTTATTGTGGGTGGTAGGGCAAAAGTTTGAAAACCACTGACTTGCTCTCTACCTGTGGCCTGAAATATTACAATACAATATGATTGTCTAAACTGCAGTCAGCAACGTGAGAAGAAGAAGGAGAGTCCATAATAACCTCAGCAACTGGAGCTATGGAGGCAGGCAATATATCTGTAGAGTGATTCCTGGGCTTCCTGGCAAGCAGTGAAGTGCATGTCTGCAGGACTGCTTGCAGAGCCAAGGCAGACAACAGAGCTGGCCAAACCAGGGCATGTATCTTTCCAGCCTGTTTCCTTGGCCAGCTCCTCAAGTTATCTAATTAAAGGCCATGCAGACACGGGAGACAAGAGCCTTTGGAGAAAGAGGAGCCAGAAGAGGTTAAACATTTTGAACTGCTTGCTACCTTTGGCTTTGGCCTAAAGGAACCCTGAGGGATGCTTTGCAAAGAACCTGGCCTCCCGAATCAAAAGTACAGAGACAATCTACTGGAATGTGTGGCTGCTTTAGTATTTGGAGAATAATAATAACAAAAGCCAGATGTCTTTAAAAAGAAGGTAATTTGCTTTTCGAAAAAATATTTGCTCTTCTCATGTTTTAAATTGTTCAGCTCTTGTCTTCTACATTTAAGTTGTTTTGTTTTCTAAATGTTTAGCACTTAGAGAATGATATATTCCTTTGACTAGATTTTTGCTTAGTTTTTATCTTTCTTTAAAAGGTTTCAGCTACCTGGCTTACTCTTTCTATTCCATTTAATTTTTTCCTTCATTGTTTTCACTTGAAAACATTGTTGTTACCTTTTCTCCTTAAGCTTTATTCGCAACTATATCCTCGAAATTCTACGTTTCTGATTTTAACATCTAAAATTTTGATTATTTTATTCTCATTTTTCCCTAGTTATACTTTTAATTTCTGAGCCCCGGTTTTCTTTTTTTTAACCAGTTCAATGTGTTATCTGTATTCCTTTTATTTGATTTCTCTTATTTCAATCTCAATTTTTTTCCTCCACATTTGGTTTTCTTGGTTTATATATGTATTTTCTTATTTGTAATTTTAATCATTATGTTCCTTGTATAGTGTACATTTATTAGGCTGACAAGCGACAGAAATGCAAAGCTTAGGCTTTTAACCTCTATACCATTCAGGCTTCATCTGCAAACAACTTTGTAGCTAACTAATCTAGAACATTTCCTACACCGATTGGCCGCTAACATGTTTTTTTTCTCTTTTGATCTATCTCCCTTCTTAGCAGGGTTACGGGAAGCTCCTCCTGCTCCTGAACCTTTCCATTTTCTCCACTTGTCAGAAGAAGCAAGGACAGGCTGCCTAAGCCAGAAGAATTCAGGGTTATTAAAACAGTCACTCAGACTCTTGCGGGATGGCTTTCACATATATGATACGTCTGTGAGTCACATAGAACAGATCCAACTCCCAGAACAGTGTCAGAAAGTGGTGCCTTTTCATGTCTTTTTTTTAAACTTTTATTTTAGGTTTGCAACTACATGTGCAGGTTTGTTACCTAGGTGAAACTTGTGTCACGGGGATTTGTTGTACATTATTTCATCACTCAGGTATTAAGCCCAGCACCCAGTAGTTACCTTTACTGAGCCTCTCCCTCCTCCCACCCTCCACCCCCAAGTAGTTCCTAGTGTCTTTGTTGTTCCCTTCTGTGTATTCATGTGTTCTCATTCTTTAGCTCACACTTATAAGTGAGAACATGTGGTGTTTGGTTTTCTGTTCCTGCATTAGCTTGCTAAGAATAATACTTCCAGCTTCATCTATGTTCCTGCAAAAGACATAATCTCATTTTTTTTATGGCTGCATAGCATTCCGTGGTGTATATATACCATATCTTCTTTATCCAGTCTATCATTGATGGGCATTTAGGTTGATTCCATGTCTTTGCTATTGTGAATAGTGTTGCAATGAACATTTGCATCCCAGGGAAGCCCTCAGAATTAGGGAAGGTGGTCAAGAATGTGCTCTGACCCTTTTTTCATCTCTTTTGGAGAGAATAAGACTTTTCCTTAAACCCAGAGGAATAATCTGAACAATTTAAATGACCATGGCCAAGAATTTCATCATGTAATACTGAGAGATGGGACTACCTGGATTTCCTAGGTCAACTAAGAATCCCTAAGTCTAGCTGGGAAGGTGACTGCTTCCAGCTTTAAACATGGGGCTTGCAACTTAGCCCACACCCGACCAGAGAGCTCACTAAAATGCTAATTAGGCAAAACAGGAGGTAAAGAAATAGCCAATCATCTATTGCCCGAGAGCACAGCGGGAGGGACAAGGATTGGGATATAAACCCAGGCATTTGAGCCGGTTACGGCAACCCCCTTTGGGTCCCCTCCTCTTATATGGGAGCTCTGTTTTCACTCTATTTCACTCTATTAAATCTTGCAACTGTACTCTTATGGTCCATGTTTTGTTACTGCTCGAGCTGAGCATGCGTTTGCCGTCCACCACTGCTGTTTGCCGCCATCGCAGACCCGCCCTTGACCGGCATCCCTCCAGATCCGGCAGGGTATCCGCTGTGCTCCTGATCCAGCAAGGCACCCATTGCCACTCTCGATTGAGCTAAAGGCTTGCCATTTTTCCTGCATGGCTAAGTGCCTGGGTTTGTCCTAATTGAGCTGATGGTTCTCTTCCGTGACCCACAGCTTCGAATAGAGCAACAACACTCACCACATGGCCCAAAATTCCATCTTTTGGAATCTGTGAGGCCAAGAACCCCGGGTCAGAGAACACGAGGCTTGCCACCATCTTGGAAGTGGCCCACCACCATTTTGGAAGCGGCCCGCCACCATCTTGGGAGCTCTGGGAGCAAGGACCCCGGTAACATTTTGGCGACCACGAAGGGACCTCCAAAAGCGGTAATATTGGGCCACTTTCGCTTGCTATTCTGTCCTATCCTTCCTTAGAATTGGAGGAAAATACCAGGCACCTGTCAGCCAGTTAAAAACAATTAGCGTGGCCGCTGGACTTAAGACTCAGGTGTGAGGCTATCTGGGGAAGGACTTTCTAACAGCCCCCAACCCTTCTGGAGTGGGGACATTGGTCTGCCTGGAGCCAGCTTCCACTTTCAATTTTCTTGGGAAGCCGAGGGCCGACTAGAGGCAGAAAGCTGTTGTCCCAAACTCCCGGCAGTAGCCGGTTGAGATCATGGCGCAGCCAGAAGTCTCTACTCCACAGTTGCCCATGCGTACACCCCTACCTTTCCTTCTGACCCATACCTCCTGGGTCCTGACCACCACAATCTTGAAAGTGTAGCCCCAAAATTCTCCTTACCTCTGAATCTACTTCCTCTGATCACTGCCTCCTAGATACTAATGGTTCAGACTTTCATTTCCTCTAGCAAGTTGTATCTCCAAAGGGATCTAAGGAAGCTCTAGGCTGCATCCTTAGGCATCTAGGCTATAAACCCAGGGAGTCTTATCCCTGGTGTCCCTCCCGATTTAGGTCTATAGCTCTCAACATGGGCAGTTATGTTGGACCTGTTCCCCACTACCCTTGCCAGGGCCCCAAGTTTGTAATGGCTGAGAGAGAGACTTGGAGAGAGAGAGACAGAAAGAGAGACAAAGAGGGAGTCCAAGAGAAAAATAAAAAGAGAGAAAAAGTAAAAAAGTGTGCCCTATTTCTTTAAAAGCCAGGGTAAATTTAAAACCTGTAATTAATCATTGAAGGTCTTCTCTGTGACCCTATAACACTCCAATACCACTTGGTTGTCAGTGGAAATAAGGGCATAGCCCGAAAGCACTGATGCTACTGACAACCCAGAGCTGTCCTGTAAAAAATCCTTAACCCAGCAGATTTCCTAACAGGGGAGTAAATCTTAATTACCATGCAAGGTCCAACCAGACCTAGAAGGAACTCCCTTCAGGATAGGACGATAGATAGTTCCTCCCAGGTGACTGAGAAAAAAACCCAATGGGTATTCAGTAATTGATACGAAGACTCTTGTGGAAGCAGAGTTAGAAAATTTGCCTAATAATTGGTCTCCTCAAACGTGCGAGCTGTTTGCACTTAGCCAAGCCTTAAAGTACTTACAGAATCAAAAGACTATCTCAATCCTGACTCAAAAGGTTAGCTGCACCCTTTCTCAAACGAATTTGCATAAGAACTGTTGTTTATAGGAATGTATCTTGACGGGGCAGCTGGGTTGTTATAAAATACCCAGTCCAGCTCTAGGACTCACCCCTGAGCGCAAAGGCAATGTTGGGCACACTGGTAAAGGACCACTAGAATCCAGCAGCCCAGACCCCTTTCTTTGTAGTCAAGAGAGGCGGGAAAACAGGTGCAGGACTGCTACATTGGTGAGCGTAACTAATCCGATAAGCAGAGGACCATGAGTGGTTACGCACCCTGGAAAGGAACTCACCGCCGAGCGCAAAGGCAATGTTGGGCACGCTGGTAAAGGACCACTAGAATCCAGCAGCCTGGATCCCTTTCTTTGTGGTCAAAAGAGGTAGGAAAACAGGTGCAGGACTGCTACGTCAGTGAGCGTAACTAATCCGATAAGCAGAGGTCCACAGGTGGTTACGCACCCTGGAAAGGAATAAGCATTAGGACCATAGAGGGCGCTCTATGACTAATGCTCATTGGAAAATGACTAGGGGTGCTGGCATCCCTATGTTCTTTTTTCAACGTTCCCCCCGAGGCAAAAACGACCCTAAGATGTATTCTGGAGAATTAGGACCAATTTGACCCTCAGATGCTAAGAAAGAAATGACTTATATTCTTCTGCAGTACTGCCTGGCAATGATATCCTCTTCAAGGGGGAGAAACCTGGCGTCCTGAGGGAAGTATAAATTTTAACACTGTCTTAAAACTAGACATCTTTTGTAGAAAAGAAGGCAAATGGAGTGAAGTGCCGTATGTACAAACTTTCTTTTCATTAAGAGACAACTCGCGATTATGTAAAAAGTGTGATTTATGCCCTACAGGAAGCCCTCAGAGTCTACCTCCCTACCCCAGCGTCCCCCAACTCCTTCCCCAACTAATAAGGACCCCCCCTTCAACCCATTCGGTCCAAAAGGAGATAGATAAAGGGGTAAACAATGAACCAAAGAGGGTGAATATTCCCTGATTATGCCCTCTCCAAGCAGTGGGAGGAGGAGAATTCGACCCAGCCAGAGTGCATGTACCGTTTTCTCTCTCAGACTTCAAGCAAATTAAAATAGACCTAGGTAAATTCTCAGATAACCCTGATGGCTATATTGATGTTTTACAAGGGTTAGGACACTCCTTTGATCTGACACGGAGAGATATAATGTTACTGCTAAATCAAACACTAACCCCAAATGAGAGAAATGCTGCCATAACTGCAGCCTGAAAGTTTGGCGAATCTCTGGTATTACAGTCAGGTCAACGATAGGATGACAACAGAGGAAAGAACGATTCCCCACAGGCCAGCAGGCAGTTCCCAGTGTAGACCCTCATTGGGACACAGAATCAGAACATGAAGATTGGTGCCACAGACATTTGCTAACTTGCGTGCTAAAAGGACTAAGGAAAACTAGGAAGCAGCCTATGAATTATTCAGTGATGTCCACTGTAACACAGGTGAAGGAAGAAAATCCCACTGCCTTTCGGGAGAGACTAAGGGAGGCATTGAGGAAGCACACCTCCCTGTCACCTGACTCTGTTGAAGGCTAACTAATCTTAAAGGATAAGTTTATCACTTAGCTGCAGACATTAGGAAAAAACTTCAAAAATCTGCCTTAGGCCCAGAGCAAAACTTAGAAACCCTACTGAACTTGGCAACATTTTTTTATAATAAAGATCAGGAGGAGCAGGCGGAATGCGACAAATGGGATAAAAAAAGGCCACCGCTTTAGTCATGTCATGGCCCTCAGGCAAGCGGACTTTGGAGACTCTGGAAAAGGGATAAGCTGGACAAATCAAATGCCTAATAGGACTTGCTTCCAGTGCGTTACAAGGACACTTTAAAAAAGATTGTCCAAGTAGAAGTAAGCTGCCCCCTCGTCCACACCCCTTATGTCAAGGGAATCACTGGAAGGCGCACTGCCCCAGGGGATGAAGGTCCTCTGAGTCAGAAGCCAGCAGTAGGACTGAGGGTGCCCAGGGCAAGCGCCAGCCCATGCCATCACCCTCACAGAGCCCCGGGTATGCTTGACCATTGAGGGCCAGAAGGTTAACTGTCTCCTGGACACTGGCGCAGCCTTTTCAGCCTTACTTTCCTGTCCCGGACAACTGTCCTCCAGATCTGTCACTATCCGAGGGGTCCTAGGACAGCCAGTCACTAGATACTTCTCCCAGCCACTATGTTGTGACTGAGGAAGTTTACTGCTTTCGCATGCTTTTCTAATTATGCCTGAAAGCCCCACTCCCTTGTTAGGAAGAGACATTCTAGCAAAAGCAGGGGCCATTATACACCTGAACATAGGAGAAGGAACACCCGTTTGTTGTCCCCTGCTTGAGGAAGGAATTAATCCTGAAGTCTGGGCAACAGAAGGACAATATGGATGAGTAAAAAATGCCCATCCTGTTCAAGTTAAACTAAAGGATTCCACCTCCTTTCCCTACCAAAGGCAGTACCCCCTCAGACCTGAGGCCCAACAAGGCCTCCAAAGGATTGTTAAGGACCTAAAAGCCCAAGGCCTAGTAAAACCATGCAATAGCCCCTGCAATACTCCAATTTTAGGAGTACAGAAATCCAGTGGACAGTGGAGGTTAGTGCAAGATCTCAGGATTATCAATGAGGTTGTTGTTACTCTATACCCAGCTGTACCTAGCCCTTATACTCTGCTTTCGCAAATACCACAGGAAGTAGAGTGGTTTACAGTCCTGGACCTTAAGGATGCCTTTTCTGCATCCCTGTACATCCTGACTCTCCCTTTGAAGATCCTTCAAACCCAGCGTCTCAACTCACCTGGACTGTTTTATCCCAAGGGTTCGGGGATAGCCCCCATCTATTTGGCCAGGCTTTAGCCCAAGACTTGAGCCAATTCTCATACCTGGACACTCTTGTCCTTCAGTACATGGATGATTTACTTTTAGCCACCCGTTCAGAAACCTTGTGCCATCAAGCCACCCAAGCGCTCTTAAATTTCCTTGCTACCTGTGGCTACAAGGTTTCCAAACCAAAGGCTCCGGTCTCCTCAGAGCAGGTTAAATACTTAGGTCTAAAATTATACAAAGGCACCAGGGCCCTCAGTGAGGAACGTGTCCAGCTTATACTGCCTTATCCTCATCCCAAAACCCTAAAGCAACTAAGAGGGTTCCTTGGCATAATAGGTTTGTGAACAATGGAACAACTTCAGCACAGAAATAAACACCACTTCCGTTTTAGTAGGACCTCTTGTTTCCAATCTGGAAATAACCCATACTTCAAACCTCACCTGTGTAAAATTTATCAATACTATAGACACAACCAACTACCAATGCATCAGGTGGGTAACTCCTCCCACTCGAACAGTCTACCTACCCTCAGGAATATTTTTTGTCTGTGGCACCTCAGCCTATCATTGTTTGAATGGCTCTTTAGAATCTATGTGCTTCCTCTCATTCTTAGTGCCCCCTATGACCATCTACACTGAACAAGATTTACACAATTATGTCATACCTAAGCCCCACAAAAAAGAGTACCCATTCTTTTGTTATCAGAGCAGGAGTGCTAGGTGGACAAGGTACTGGCGTTGGTGGTATCACAACCTCTACTCAGTTCGACTACAAACTATCTCAAGAACTAAATGGTGACATGAAATGGGTCACCAACTCCCTGGTCACCTTGCAAGATCAACTTAACTCCCTAGCAGCAGTAGTCCTTCAAAATCGAAGAGCTTTAGACTTGCTAACCGCCAAAAGAGGGGGAACCTGTTTATTTTTAGGGGAAAATGCTGTTATTATGTTAATCAATCAGGCATCATCGCTGAGAAAGCTAAAGAAATTTGAGATCGAATATAACGTAGAGCAGAGGAGCTTCAAAACACTGGACCCTGCAGCCTCCTCAGCCAATGGATGCCCTGGATTCTCCCCTTCTTAGGACCTCTGGCAAGTATAATATTGCTACTCTTTGCACCCTGTATCTTTAACCTCCTTGTTAAGTTTGTCTCTTCCAGAATCGAAGCTATAAAACTACAAACAGTTCTTCAAATGGAGTCCCAGATGCAGTCCATGACTAAGATCTACTGTAGACCCCTGGACCAGCCTGCTAGCCCATGCTCTGATGTTAATGACATTGAAGCCACCCTTCCCAAGGAAATCTCAACTACACCACCCCTACTAAGCCCCAATTCAGTAGGAAGCAGTTAGAGCGGTTGTCAGCCAACCTCTCCAACAGCACTTGGATTTTCCTGTTGAGAGGGCGGCTGAGAGAAGGACTAGCTGGATTTCCTAGGCCGATTAAGAATCCTTAAGCCTAGCTGGGAAGGTGACCACGCCTACCTTTAAACACGGGGCTTGCAACTTAGCCCACACCTGACCAATCAGAGAGCTTACTAAAATGCTAATTAGGCAAAACAGGAGGTAAAGAAATAGCCAATCATCTATTGCCTGAGAGCACAGTGGGAAGCACAAGGATCAGGATATAAACCCAGGCATGCAGGCCGACTACAGCAACCCCCTTTGGGTCCCCTCCCCTTATGGGGGAGCTCTGTTTTCACTCTATTTCACTCTATTAAATCCTGCAACTGTACTCTTCTGGTCCATGTTTTGTTATGGCTTGAGCTGAGCATTCGTTCACTGTCCACCACTGTTGTTTGCCACCATCACAGACCCGCTGCTGACTTCCATCCCTCCGGATCTGGCAGAGTGTCTGCTGTGCTCCTGATCCAGCTAGGCGCCCATTGCCACTCCATATGGGGCTAAAGGCTTGCCATTGTTCCTGCACAGCTAAGTGCCTGGGTTTGTCCTAATCAAGCTGAACACTAGTCACTGGGTTCCATGGTTCTCTTCCATAACCCACGGCTTCTAATAGAGCTGTAACACTCACCGCATGGCCCAAGATTCCATTCCTTGGAATCTGTGAGGCCACGAACCCCGGGTCAGAGAACACAAGGCTTGCCACCATCTTGGAAGTGGCCCACCGCCATTTTGGAAGCAGACTGCCACCATCTTGGGAGCTCTGGGAGCAAGGACCCCCCGGTAACAATACCATCTAGTTTCTTTAAGGACTTGTATCAGTGAAAGTCCAAGCAGGACACAGAAATTACATGGCAATTTGAAAAAAGAAATAAGAGTAAAGGTATCATGCGCGTCCATGTGAAGAGAACACCATACATGCTTTATGTGAGCAATAAAGCTTTTTAATTACCTGGGTGCAGGCGGGCTGAGTCCGAAAAGAGTGTCAGTGAAGGGAGATAGGAGTGGGCCGTTTTATAGGATTTGGGTAGTTAAAGGAAAATTACAGTCAAAGGGGGTTTTTCTCTGGTGGGCAGGGGCGGGGGTCACAAGGTGCTCAGTCGGGGAGCTTTTGAGCCAGGAAAAGGAATTTCACAAGGTAATGTCATCAGTTAAGGCAGGAACAGGCCATTTTCACTTCTTTTGTGGTGGAACGTCATCAGTTAAGGCATGAACCGGGCCATCTGGATGTATACGTGCAGGTGACAGGGGATATGATGGCTTAGCTTTGGCTCAGAGGCCTGACAAAAGGGGCAGTTGCTAGTGAGCGATAACAAGTACTCTAAAGAATACGGGAGTGGCAGGCACATTCTCTTGAGCTTTGCTACTTTGGAGGTCTTCGTCCCCAAAAGGGGGAATGCTTTCATCAGGAGACACAACAGTAATTTCACTGAATTTGAAGAGACGATTGCCAACTGGTCATTTGAGGCTGTTTATGTCACTAAATCAATGGGCCAAAAATAAGGAGCTGCTTCACTGGCGGAGTGATTGATCCCAATTACCAAGGAGAAATTTAATGGGCAGCCTCTTCCCCTGGGACTGAGCCAGAAGTCCAAGGAAGAAGCCAACACCTCCCAGGGCTGAGATTAGACATCATTGGAGAGGGCATGGCAAGGCACACTGGCAGAGAAGTTCACTGAGGTGTCATGTCAGTGCAGCTTGCTGGAAAACTGCCCCTTGGAGTGCTAAGGTAATATCCTCAGGGAGGAGCCATGTCTCAGAACTCACTGGAAAGCCACCTGAAGGAATGTGGGGAAAGTTGTTCAGAGGAAGCTGCCCTGTTAGCAGCTCTCTGCAAGGAGGTATGCTGGGGGAAGATGTTCATAAGGATGTGCCCACCATCTGCACTTTGCTTAAAATGGCTGGAACCAGTTGCCTGAGGCAGCCATTCAAGTGAAGGTGTTTTGCTGGTAGCCCTCCCACTATAAAGTTGTTTACAGGAAGTGCTCTATGCTGCCGGCCACTGGGCACGGTAGAAAACACAGAGCGTGTGCACAAACACATGTACTCTCTCTATATATATATTTCTCTCTCTCTCTCTCTCTCTCTCTCTCTCTTTCTTTCTCTGCAGGAGATGATCACCAGAAACAAGAAGAAAAGCTCCTTCCTTCTGTGATCCTCCAGCACTGTCTATTGACAAAGCTTAGCAACATGTTCACTGTAAAGAAGAAATTCTTAAGGGGTTCAGCTCCATTACCCTAAAATGGTAATAAATGGATTGGGGGTTGAGACAATGTGTTGATAACTGGGAATAGTACATTCCTTTAGCTACTCGTTTTCCATATTTACCCTTCACTCATGTGAGTTCTGTACAATGAAGCAACTCTGTGTTTCCACCTAACAAGATATTGCTATTCTCACAAATGAAGAAATTCTCACCCTTCACAAAATAAAAGAGCACAGTCCTAACCATCACTGTATCCATTGCCAGCTATAGTCATTACTCCTCAAATTCTATGATAGTTTCACTGATTATTTTCTTGCCTAAAGACTATTATGTATGGTTAAGCATCACTAGTTTGTGTAAAAATAAAAATGGAAAAAAGAGAAATAGCCTACATAAACATATAATAGCCAAAGAGACTACAAAGACTACAAATAACACAAAGCCACTACAGCCCAAATTTCAGTAGTGGAGCACAAGGCCATAGTTGATACCTCTGGCTTATATTTCTTTTGACCTTGGCCAGAAGCTCGGCGGGTCAATTCTTTATCCAGTAGAGTGACCTAAAACTTCCTTCAGAAGAGTGAAGTCCTTAATCGTCTGCCTTTTTTTTTTTTTTTTTTGGTATAAGAACTGCTAATGGGCACCCCAGATAATCCCCTGGATTCCACATAATCCTCCTTCTCCTCAGTGTGTAGCAGCAACTCAATTTCCCTTTGAAAATTGAGATCAATCACTCCAACCAGTGAAGCAACTTCTTATTTTTGGTCTGTTGTTTTAGTGACACAAACAGCCTCAAATGACCAGGTGGCAATGTTCTCTTCAAATTCAGTGAAACTGTTGTGTCTCCTGATGAAAGCATTCTCCCTCTTGGCTGCAAAGACCTCCAAATTAGCAAAGCTCAAAGTTTCCATTGGATTTGGCAGTTCCATCACTGATAACAGTAAAGAGAATCATTTCAGGGGAGTAGTGGGAACAGAAACCAGATTACAAGAGGGTTTACGATGAAGAGAAGGCAAGGCAGGGAAGCCAGTAAGTGAATGCAGCCCACTCTTTCAAAAGAAAAGCTATGAAATTAAGCAGAGGAGAGCTCTGTAAAGCACTTAGAAGAGGACACAGTATTTTGAGAGGAATTTTTAAGATGAGGAAAACTTACACATCTTATAAAATTCAAGTGGAAATTCTTCTATGTAAAAAGAAATTGAAGAAAGAGATGAGTAAACAAGATCCCAAAAGGGATGGGATCAATATACTCAAAGCATTGGGATCTCTGCCTCAGTCTCTGAGCCCAAAGAAGTGGGTAGGGCTGTGATGGGAGAAAATAAAGGCAAATCTGTAGGAGGTGGAACAGGAAGTTGAGCTGGTTACCTTCCCCCAGTTTAATTTTCAGATTACAAAGCAAAGCCTTTGATGAAAGAACTGAGTTGGTAGAGCAGGAAGATTGAAGAAAATGCACAATTTTGAAAAGAACAATAGTGGAAAATAGAGAGGGACAAGGGATAGAGAAATCTAATCTTGTTGTCTATAAATCATGACTCAAATTTTACTTCCTCCTTGATGTGTGCTCTGCCTCTTCAACTGATAGTAAATAAAAAATTAGTAACATATCTATATAGCAATTAAAAACAGAGGTTTCTCTTTAAGCTCCTATCCTATAACTCTTATATAGCACTCGTTATTTTCTGCTATGTAGTTTTTTTCCTTTCTAGAATCCACTGTAACTCTTTAATGTATTAGATTTTTGTATCCCTCATAAGCATCTACTAGAGTGTGTAGCTCATTAACACAGTGTTTCCATAACTAATTGTTGTACAACAAACCATGCTCTACTAATGGAGTAAAGTAACAACCTTTTGTAATTATTCTCTCTCATGGTTCTGGGGATAACTAAGTGGTTCTCACTTGGGGGTCTCTCCTGAGGTTGCAGTCAGGAAACATCTGGAGGCTCCTGCCTGCACATCTCTGGAGTGTGATGTTGGCTCCTGGTGGGACCTCAGCCAGGGGGCTGCCCTCCGCAATACACATATGTGACTTCTCCATGCGGCTTGGGCTTCCTCAGGGGACAGTGGCTGGGTTCCGAGAGCAAGTGTCCTAGAAAAGAGCTGGGCAGGTGCTATAATCCTTTTTATGATCTCTGAAGTCATGCAGTAGTATTCTGTAACATTATATTTATTAGAATTAAGTCACTAAGGCCAGCCCATATTCAAGAGGTGGGGAGTTTAGACTCCATGTCTTGATGAGAGGAGTGTCAAGGGATTTGAAGATACTACACATATAAATGCTAATTAGTTGCTTGTTTTAAGCATTTATTGTATTTTGAAAAAGCCCCAGAAAGAAAGAGAATGAGAGTGGTGCACAGTCTTACAAGGTCTGAATAGAAGTCAGGAATAATGCTAAAGAGTCAATTAACCCATAAAAGATGCTAACCATGGCTGCTTATTTCACTAGTGTTTGTAATCTTCTTTTACAATCTCTTTTTAGGAGGTAAAATTGAGCTGTTTGGTCTAGAAAGTTGTAGTAGGTCAGTGCTTCTGCTACTTTATGGGCACACAGACTCCTGGGGATCTTGTTAAAATGCAAGATTTTAACAATGTGATGCCAGGGGCATCACATTCTGCATTTCTAGGAAGCTACAAGGGAGATACTGCAGCTCCATGGGCCACCCATTGAACAGCAAGTTAGCAGAAAGTAATACGGGTAACTGCCTGGCTCCTGTGATCCCACCCTTCTCTGGGAGGAGCGCTAATGGGGTATGCCACCAGAGGTCCTTATGGGCTTACAAGACCTTAGCCCTCTGGCCTGTGAACTCGTGATGCCAATAAGGTTAATCTGTTCTTCCACAAGACTTGTAGAACTGGAATTAAAGGAAGAGAGTAATTTACCTCTTCCTTTAGAATTAAGTCACTAAGGCCAGCCCATATTCAAGAGGTGGGGAGTTTAGACTCCATGTCTTGATGAGAGGAGTGTCAAGGGATTTGAAGATACTACACATATAAATGCTAATTAGTTGCTTGTTTTAAGCATTTATTGTATTTTGAAAAGCAGAGAGTAATCTACCATATTCCGTGGTAGAAGCACGGAATATGAGGCTCTATCCATCATGTCAGAAAGCCAGTTTCCAGGAGGAATAAAGGGAACACACAGAGAGAAGAGAATCCAGGTGACACTCCAGCGCCTGATGAGGCTCAGACCTGACCCCACTCTGAAAGATTATACAAAATATCCTAATATTGTTCCGGCAAATTCCCCTCTTGGCCTAAATTTGTTCTACTTGGGTTTTTATCATTTGAAACTAAAAAAGCTCTAACAAAGGGTAGGGAAAGTAGGGGATATGTTCTCTTGGAAATGTAATGCTCACTGTTTTGCAGTACTAGATGATTATCCAGACGTCTGCAATCTGAGGGTGAGGAAAGACTGTCCCTTAAGTCATGTTAAAGGTGTGTTCCCAGCAGAGTGGACTGAATATGAAAGAAGACGACAATGGAACACTAAGGCCGAGGGAAGATGAGAAAAGTCTCAACCTACCTAAAATAGGAAAAACATCTGGAAAAGGGAGGCAAAGAGAGTCTATGGATTAAAATCGTTGGATAGTATCGAAAGAAACTGTTACCCAAAAGTGATGCCTGCTGAAAACAGATGGGAAAAGGACAGTCTAGGAATAGCAAAGCTAATATTCTCTAAAGAGTGACCAGACCCTGGGCCTGAGTGGAAGTTAAAAGCAAGATAGTCCTGCCCAGCAAAGAACAAAACATTGACTTTTCGTATATGTTGGACATTGTGTGATTTGCTTTACATTTATGACCTTATTAAATGACCCCCTAAGAAAGTTTCGCTCATGCCCGTCCCTGAAACTCTAGCACAGTCACAGCTGGCACTCCCACAGTCGAAAGAGAGGAAACCGAATGTGGATCATATCATGTGGTTCCCACCTGGCAGACCCTATGACTGGGTATGCCTCAGCAGGCAAATCTCAGAGTCCTCCGAAGTCTCAGAGACTGCAAGCTGTGCAGGTGACACAAGAATGACACGGCCACCTTTCCATGTTTGGAGTAAATTTTTAATAACCAGTTTCTTGGTTACAACTTCATCTATATAAATCCCCTTATTCTAGGATCTACACAGTTAAACCTAATATTTCACAGCACATTTCTAAAACAGTACATTTTTTACACTAAAAAAATAAAATAAAATAAAAGCCTGGTTACCACCAAGGTGTATTGTCCATGAATTGAAAGGCTTTCCTATTTAAGTAGCAGGTACATGTGTAAATAGGGCAGGCAGCAACAGAACAGCAATATTGGAGAACGCTTTCTTTGTAGTAAATGCCCTTGAGTATGAGATGTGACAATGAAGCAATAAGGCCAATTCTATAAAGCAAAAATGGATACTGATCTCCTTATTTTGTAGCCATACCTTATGGTATGTTTATAACGTATTTCTTTCACATGTTAAAACAGTATCTACTAAAGATGGGCTTAATTTTGGTAAAGTGAACTGAAAAAAGTTATATGTTAATGCAACATTTGTTGTAAAGATTCCAGAAACGCAGGAGTCAAAAATTCAAATTATGATTCCCACAGTAACTGTAACTCTGGTATACAACATACATAATGGAAGAAATGTTATCAACATATACCATAGTAGAAAATACTCAGTAAGCAGAAACAAGCTGAGTTATGCTTGCTGTGGGAATCATCATTCTCAACTAGCTGGGAATATATAAAAATCGAAACCATAAATGCATGCATTATTTTTTGCAGTTAATTCTAATTTTTCTTGATCCAATTTAATCAGCTTTGTATCCAAACTACATTTTCCCTTCACAAACTGCAAATGAACGTCTTTCGTAATTTTAAAATCGACATCATTTGATTTCTTTTTCTCACACAGGCTGCCTTTTGCAGGATGGCATCATTACACCCTGTCCCTCCCTGAAATGTCAGGACACATCTGCTGGGATTCATTTATCTACATTCCTTTTCTCTCTGAAGGACACCATGGGGAAGGAGAAAAAGAACAGCAAAGAGAACAAGAATCACATTGAGTAGCTTAGAAAGGTACATAAGTGCAACAGAAACAGGGACACTGTCACCATTAACTTCCCCTATGGTATCCTCCTGAGCTGACACAAGAACAATGCCACCATATATTTACAATTTCCAAAGTGTTTAGTCAAAATATTATCTCATCTGATTCTCACCACAACACTGTGAGAAAGGCAAAACCAAAACACCTTTCTGTTGTTCAGCTTTTGTGACTCAAGTAGAATATATTTAAAGATTTGTTTTTATGTTATCGTCTAAAGTGTAGGCCATTTAATTGCAATGACAGTATTTCCTAAATATACTCATCTACCACATGCAGAGGATTTAGTTATTATGAAGGCAGAGTATGGTCTATGTAAAAAGATTATGGTTATAAGTGAAACATTTAACATATTTTAAGCTTTTGGCTTTAACTATATTCTAAAGATTCAACAATGAAACAGAGGAATAATTGCCCTTTGAAATTCTGCCGAGGCAAAATTTATCCTGAATATTTTATCCAGTATTACTTTTCCCAGTTTGGTTTTAACTAAGAAGGGCACCTTCTGTAACCTCTGAAGACGAATCCTTTTACTTTCTAGCAGTCTTTATCCATCAGAGTATGTTTCATTATATTCAAACTAAATTACTTTGGCTCAAGAACAATCATAGTTCCTTTACCACCCTAAATAGCTCCGCCTCCCCATAGTGTCCATGACCTTGGATGAGTGTCTGGAGGGTAACATGGTCAATCTGTGTGTGTCTCAGTGCTACTGTGATCAGTCTATTCAATTGCAAGTTTATTTTCCCTTCTTTTCACCTACAGAAAGATCCTTCACATAATCAGACAAAATTTTCCTTCCTCATTTATATAAGATACCGATAAAAAGATCAATTAAAATAAAGATTCAGAACTGGCAAAAAGCCTCAATATCATTTGTTCTAACTAGGGAGATAACACAGTCAATCCTTTGCCTGTGAAAAGTATGACAACCTTGCATGCAATTAAAAGGTAATATTTTAAGTGCAAAAGGAAAAACAAATCTTAAGGAATATTTTAGGAGGTTTTCTTGTGGAGAAAGAGTTGTCTTCTTAATGTTACCTACAATCATAAAATTATAAAACAGATCTTTGCACTGAATAAAGATGGACACACAAGTTCTTGCATAAAACAGGTAAGACACTTGAAGGTATCCCCCCAGACATAAATGCTGAACTTTTAGGCTTTTCCTCTACTCATATGCAAAAGTTTGAAAAGAAAAAACAGTATCAGGGCTTGGTCATAGCACAGCCTCAATATTATTTCCAAGCTAAAATGTCAGTGATGGAGATGTGAGCTCTTGCATCTTATCAGAGACCAGAAAAAGGCCTTACTGCCTTATAGGATACATCAGCCAGACATGAAGGCTAGGCCATAAGCATACATTTTCTTCGCAGGTCCATCCACTTTATGGGATTTTTTCTCAGGGAAAGTATAGATACAGACAGTGGGCAAGGTTTACCTTAAACAGAATGAAATAAAGTCCTTGTTGGCTCTCTCTTTCAAGGTGGAAAATGAAAAGGAGGTGACCAATTCTAGAAGATCACAGAACGCTTACAAATGAAAAATAATGGGGTATGTTTCTCTTGAGCAGTCAATAAGTGAAATTATCAAAGGTCTAAAATTTCCCAAATAAACTGACAACATATAAGGTCCTGGAGACTGTCAGTGCCATAGATCAAAAAACCAATTTTTCATCTTTGCTTTTAATTAAAGTTGCAGGATTCCATGAGTGAACAGCAGTAAAATATTAATACATTAAAGAATAAACCAAAGGAAAATGTTTGGTGCAATGTAAGTGGTCAAACAATAGAAGACTGTGAAATGAATTAAATATTCATACAGTGGATACTATCCAGTTATTCACAATGTATTTTTGAGAGGGAAAAGGTTGATAATACATTGTAAGATGAAAAAAGATATTACAAAATAGTATATTCCATAAGATCTCCATATTGGGAAAAAAATATGTGCATAAGTCGAAAGATTGGGAGGATATACAGAAAATAATTAACCGAAGTTACCTCTGTTAGTGAGAATTTAACGTCTTCACAATTTTTTCTTTTCCAAATGAAAAGGGGATAAGGGGAAATTACTATTTTCAAAAACAATCAATGTACTCTGATCTCTTTGTTCCATTTGCTTTTATAATACACAAAATACAAAACTGGAATATATTTTGTGCCATCACACAATTGTATTAACAATTATTTTTCTTTAAGTTATAAAATTAATAGTTGATTCAAATTTAGTTTCCTTATACTTATTTCCAATTCACACAAGAGAAACACATTTTTAAAAATATATAATGACATAAATTATTATCCAAGGTTGCAGTCTTCCATGCTTTCTTCACTCATCATCAAATCTAAAAAATGAACTTCATATGCTTAATTCCGTAAGTTTTGAAGAAAACCATGATAATAAGTGCCCATAATCCCAGAATAAAGCCCCCAGGAGGATGCCAGTCTTTCAGCTTTGGTTTCTGCAAAACAAGAATAACATGATAAATTTTATAACAGGTAAATAATTCAGCAATCAATAAAGCCAATATTGATGAAAAAGAGAAATTTCACTGGCTGTGTTTGAAGGGGGACTAGTTTAGTCAAATTAAGTATATTGGGATATCAACAATGGTAAAGACTTCAGACAGGGTAAATATCCCACAGGGTAAACTGGCTCCTAAGAAAGATCAGTTTCAGCTTATATTTTGTTTCATCAAAGAGTCCTTCCCTGATTACCTAATCATACCATCTATCCTCACTCAAGTTATTCAGTAGCCTAACAGTCTTTCTCACTTTGGATTTATATATTCATTAATTTGTTGGTTTTATCCATCTCTGCTACACTGTAGTTCCATGAGGGTCATCTTATTATATTCCCAGCACCAACCTGCCACAGTGCTTGCCATTCAAGAGGCATTCACGTATCATACTGAGTAAATCAGTGGAAGAACAAACACTACCCAACTCCATCAGATATTCAACACACACTTGTTTGAGGGCCAGTGCCTTGGGTCATGTTTTTCCCTTGAGGTAGAATGCTCCGTAACCTATTCACTGTGCCTATTCAAAACTCACTAAGTCAAATGCCTCCTCCAGACTCTACCATTATTCCCACCTGATATGTTATTTTCTTTGAGTTCCTATAGTACCTGAACTGTAACTCCTTCTACTGTTACTCCTATTCACTATTATATTTACCTTTATCATTTATCTCCCTGTATACTCCCTAATATCAAAGTCCATCGAAGTCAATTTTTTATCACCCTTCTCTATTCCCCACCCCCAAGTGTCACATATGCTTTTCTGTCCAGCAAGAAAAGTCTTCCTCATTTAGTTGTCATTTCAACAGCTACATTACAGCCTTGTAATTGGAAGTTTGTGACAATGACTCTTTTCTACTTACTGAATTACCGGCCAAGACTGTAACAACAGTTATGATATTAGAAGCATATTTTAGACCATCGGGGAGAGAAATGGTAAGCTAAAATTGGCTTTAGTCATCATATAATGTTCATCAACTCAAAATTAACTTTTCAAACTAAAAGGAGAGAAAGCTACCTCAATATTTTAACTTGGATCATAATGCTAGAGTTTTCAGAGCTTTTAATCAGATGCTTAATATAAACTGACCTACCAGTGTTTAAAGTGGTTACCTTCCATCTTCATTCCTATGCTTACCCTCAACCTCTACCAGTCCATCCAGAAAACTCCCCCAAAATTTATCCCAAAATATTAAATCCAATTTTCCTCATGTTATTTTCCACTTAAGAGTCTGCAGTGGCTTCCACTCAACATGTGTAATGATAAACGCAAAAGGTCCTTGCCCTCTAGTATCTTACAAGATGGTAAGTTCGGGGGTTCTCAAACCATTTGTAATGGCAAAGTTCTTTGAAGTTACGGTGCTTTCTGTGCAATACCATGACAAATCTTAATTCCAGTAGAAAATCTAGAATATTTAATAAAAAGCAAAGCTATATTAAACATAAGCTATATAAATATCACAAGCATGTGTCAATCAAAAAATAAGTGAGTGAACTAAACAAGATCACTGCTCAGTTTTTGTCCTGTTTATTTTCTACTAGTCAAACAATTTGTAATTCACACAAAAGGGTTGAAAACATTTAAGATCTAAAACTACTTTTCCACATACCGGGAAAAGATTATTATTAGTGGAAGCACACTTTTATACAATCTATAGATATTCCCTGAAAGCCCAGTTTAAAAGCACTGACCTAGTTTGAGAGATAAGATACTGATTTTCCCTAACAACTAGGAGTCCCTGATTTATATGGCATTTAAAAACACTCACACTTAGGTTACTACTGTAGAAAAGTTAAATACATATTGTCAAAATCTGGCACCAATGTAAACTCTTAACTAAGGAGAACAGGCTATAGACAATTGTTCCATAAATCCAATTAATGAACTTCAGTGCTAAAAGAGTTAAGAAGGCATTTAAACCAACTCATGTTTTTCAAAAAATGGTGAACATCATTTAAGGTCTACATTCATTAGAGATTATAGAAATAATAATCAAGTAGTTAATAGCAAATCTTTTTTTTTTCTTAATTATACTTTAAGTTCTAGGGTGCACAACGTGCAGGTTTGTTATATATGTATACTTGTGCCATGTTGGTGTGCTGCACCCATCCCCATCAACTCGTCATTTACATCAGGTATAACTCCCAATGCAATCCCTCCCACCTCCCCCCTCCCCATAATAGGCCCCGGTGTGTAATGTTCCCCTTCCCGAGTCCAAGTGATCTCATTGTTCAGTTCCCACCTATGACTGAGAACATGCGGTGTTTGGTTTTCTGTTCTTGTGATAGTTTGCTGAGAATGATGGTTTCCAGCTGCATCCATGTCCCTACAAAGGACACAAACTCATCCCTTTTTATGGCTGCATAGTATTCCATGGTGTATATGTGCCACATTTTCTTAATCCAGTCTGTCACTGATGGACATCTGGGTTGATTCCAAGTCTTTGCGATTGTGAATAGTGCCGCAATGAACATACGTGTGCATGTGTCTTTATAGCAGCATGATTTATAATCCTTTGGGTATATACCCAGTAATGGGATGGCTGGGTCATATGATACTTCTAGATCCTTGAGGAATCGCCATACTGTTTTCCATAATGGTTGAACTAGTTTACAGTCCCACCAACAGTGTAAAAGTGTTCCTATTTCTCCACATCCTCTCCAGCACCTGTTGTTTCCTGACTTTTGAATGATTGCCATTCTAACTGGTGTGAGATGGTATCTCATTGTGGTTCTGATTTGCATTTCTCTGATGGCCAGAGATGACAAGCATTTTTTCATGTGTCTGTTGGCTGTATGCATGTCTTCTTTTGAGAAATGTCTGTTCATATCCCTTGCCCACTTTTTGATGGGGTTGTTTGTTTTTTTCTTGTAAATTTGTTTGAGTTCTTTATAGGTTCTGGATATTAGCCCTTTGTCAGATGAGTAGACTGCAAAAATTTTCTCCCATTCTGTAGGTTGCCTGTTCACTCTGATGGTAGTTTCTTTTGCTGTGCAGAAGCTCTTTAGTTTAATTAGATCCCATTTGTCAATTTTGGCTTTAATTCTGCAGCTGTAATAACTCCAGTGACTTTCCAGTGAAATGGATTTCTTGAGGTTGTAATTTTACTATCAGATCTTAAACTTAGCAGCCAGAAACAGTTGCCAGAGATAAGACAACTACAGAAAAAATAGCATCTTTGAAAGTATCATTTTTCCAAAGATTCAACAACTAGCCCTGGCAGCTGTTTTGACCCATTATTCCACAGGCTGGCTTGGAGAATTCTGGAGGCACTTCATTCTGGTCTTTCAACCTCCTTGACAGGTATGTGTTTCACATCTAGACCACTGATGGCCAGGGTAGGAACAAAGAGAAAATCAAAGTGCTATTTCTCCAACAGCAAACTTTAAAAGTAATAATGGAGGACTAAGAATTATATGTAATTTCTCCAAAATTATAATGGAACGGTAAACTTATTCACATGATAACACTGCACCAGCTACCAAAAACAGCAAATCTTGGCCTTTCAAAACTGCTCTTTACAGTTGCTATGTTTTTTTAATGTTTATTCAATACCTTTTTTTGATTAATAAAAATGGAAAATGCATTATGAACTAAATGCACTTTAGACTCAGCTTAAGATGGTATCTGAATAGAATCCCCTAGTACAGTCTCTCCCACCTTCTCACAACAATCCATACAAAGGCACAGAAAAAGACAACAGCACATCCTACCAAAATTCAGTTAACCTCTGATGAGAAATCTCTAACAGTTTCACTATCTGAAAGTCCCAGAAACCAGCACTAGAAACAAATTAATGGTAGTCTCAGTTTTCTGTTTGGTAGATACCATGCAAAGGCTTGCTTTGCTCTGTGAAACACAATACTTCTGCCAGCTGCGTAAAGGACTTTAGCTCACTCCCTTTTTCCGCCTGCTGTTTAACAGACACAGTGCTTATGCAGTAGAAAGATGGCTTTATGAGGCAGCCAGAGTTGTGTAACTCATTCACAGTTCCCAGTGGCACACCTCTTTATATGTCCATTTAAATATAATTCCCAGCAAACAATATGACAAAAGGATAGAGGGGCAGTGACAATGGTTCACTGCTTCTTGGAAGGCTTAGTATCACAGGAAAAGCTCTGCAGAGACCAGAAAGTGCAAGGAAAACCCTGTTAGTAGTACACGTTTTAAAAATGTTTTTTTCCATATACTTTAATGTTTTTTTAAGTGCCCCCAAAAACAAGCTTAAGTGGCTGGGTAGCAGATGATCCTAGTTTAATTCAGCAAAGCCACATTTAGACTGATCTAAGTAACGGTCACTTGGAACCATATAACAACCTATTCCTCAGATACAGATTTGAGAAGGCATTTAAACCTAAGTGGATAGTGAAAACCATCCACACACACTGTTGACAAATACCAACAGTGTCCAAATAAAAAGGAAAAACCGAGGTGGGCTCTATGAGGAAAAATACTCCCAAACATGAGAAATAAATTATAACCTGAAGATGCATGCAGAGAAGATCTCTCTGAGAAAAATTTAATAATGAACCACAAATTAATTTTAGACAATTTTTGTCTGGCATAGATTTGAATAAAGATTCACAACCAACCAAAAATGAAAGAACAATATAAAGAGAAAAAGAATACACAACAGAAAGACAACAGCTGAAATAAAGGGAGCTGGATGACATAATTTTGTAACAGCAAAATTGAAATCCACATTTACAAGGAACATGGTATTCTAAGCACATCTTCAAGTCCTTCATTCATCCAATTGTATGTTAGATTGATGGCAAACATGGCCCTAATTATTCATACTTGGATGTGTTCATACCCTCTGCGATGCGACTTTATAGAAGCTGTCATCAAGAGGTACAATCTATATCCCTACCCTTTGAATCAGCAGGTCTTACGACTTCTTTTGGCCAACAAAATGCAAAACAAGTAACAGTGTCCC